TAAGTTAGAAGTTCCACATTTTTGTGGCCCTTGAGTTCTAAAACTTTATATATGTTAAAACTAATTTCTACAAGTTATTAAAAAAAAGAGAGAGAAGTCTAACACTGTAATACACAGATAATAGCTAGCTTTATGTTTATCAATATGTTTTTAAAGAATGAGAACAGGTAGGCCTTGCCACAGATTGGTTCCTTCTCACCCCCGTGCAGGGTTCTTCCCCCTCCCGCCCACCACCCCTAAGCCCATGCAGGTTTCTAATCAGAAGACAAGACACTGACTAAGGCTGGTTACTGGAGAATCCCTGACGCAGTGTGACCTTCCTGGTGCTGCTGGTCTCAAATTCCACTAGAGGAGTGAACACGAGGTACTAGGCACATTAAAAACACAGCCCATTGTTTCCTGGAAGACATCTGTCCTCACAACAAAGCATGAAGACAAAGTGTAATTTATATGTACAGATCTCCAAGGTTTGGGTTCAAAGATATCACAGGGCGGGTTAAACACGAGACCTATGCTCACCTCATGCACCTTCCAGTGAGGTCGTACCAAGGTTCTGACATCACTAAAAACCAACTACTAAAAGATACTGAGAGTATGAGGACAAAAACTCCTTGGACCAAGTCCTTAGAGGGAAAATCTGTGATCCCAGATTGCTTGCCCTCACTAGAAGTTTCTTTGACATATCCTTTCAGGTAGCCCCTGGAAAATTCCACCCACTTGTTCCTAGTGGCGAAGGAAGCAGAAGCTAATGTGGTGGGAAGAAAATGACATCTTTGTTTTGGGACACAGAAAGACTCATGATTCAGGTTTCGAAACATTTGCAGTAGACTGATGTATTCTGGTTAAAGACAAAGAGTTGGCTGTTAAGCTGGGGTGGGAATAAAGAACTATGGCAGAATGAAATACCACGTTGAATGCAAGGATGCTGCAGGGTGAAATAAAAGGGAAATAGAGAATCCCTGTTTGCATGCTTTTGGATTGCCTGCAACCAGCAGCTGGCAGGAGTACAAGAGAGAACTTGAACAGTCACAGGCCGATTCAATATTTTAAAAAGGTTCAGTTTGGCAGAAACCAATTCTGTCTATAAAGCATATATCCAGACAGTGTATGGCATAAATCTTTGAAAAGGAAATTCAAAAAAACTATTCAATTCCAATGTTTGTTAATCGCAGAACTATAAACTAAAGCACTAGTGACATATCATTGTACATCTAGGAGAGAAGCATGATAGATAAATGGATTCGAGAACCCTCTGCAGACCAGGAAAGGGTGAAAATGCTACACAGCCTTCTAACCTGCTGGTTGTGTTGTCCATGAGGACGATCCTTTCGAGAACCTGAACAAGATATATTATTGACCACAAAGGTTTGAACTCCTTGACATAGTAATTCTAACTGGAGGATATTTTTGTTTTTCTTTTAACTTAATGGAAAATAAAATTGAAATCTGAACAGCTATATAATGAAAGCATCCTCTCTTGCAAGACTTTCAGGCAATGGACAAGGAAGATAAACCACTAACGTGATAATTTCGTAAACTACGGCATAGCAACTGCTTGGATTAACCATGTAACCAATGAAAATGATAATGAGAAAGTTTATGTGTACATTTTGAAAATACAGACAGTTGTTATGAGCATAAAGCAGGTTGTTGAACTCTATTTACTAATAAAACCAGGTTCAAATGTGCATTGTTTGATGGAAGTGGCAAGAGAAGACAGAAAATGAACATAAAAGAAATCATGTCAGTGTAAGACATTATATAAAAATGTTTCATTTGCTAAGCTACCTTTACTATCAAGTTTACATTGTTTAAAAGGCAAAAACCTGTTTTTAAGAAGACACAGTCCTATTCTCGCACCGTCCAATAGCAATGAAGATAAGGGATACAAGTGAATTAATAGTGTGGGCTGGGAAGTTCATCAGTAGAATTGTAATACACACAAAGGATTTCCCGAGGGAAAAGAATTTAATAAAAACAAAGACAGGCTAAATGCTATGAGAAGATTTTAATAATTCATCCTGAATTCTATTCCTACTAATCTTACATTCACTGCTGTATGCAGCTCTGCCATCCAATTCAGGTTGGCATTAAAACATCTAGACATTAATGCTAATTAAATCTGCCTTTTCATTCTGAAAAACCACATTCTTCTCTTTAATATCAAACATATGCAGAATCATTCAATACTCTAAAAACATTTTAGACTCTGTTTATTTTGCAAATAAAATCAGAAAAGGCAGGAAATTGTCTAACGTTGATTTGTTGACCATTTCTTGTATTGATTTTAAATGTTAATTGTAAAAGTGGTATGTGTAATATTTATTCTGATTCACACTGTGAACTTCTCTCCTTTTTCAGAACCTGAAGGCAAGCCTCCATGTTCAATGCTAAGTGCAGGTGTGGATCTACTTGGGTTTCTCTCTAGCTGTCTGAATTGTAATTATGGAAGAATTATTTTAAGAACAGTCTTTATGTGAGATTTCTAAATCCAATATAAGTTAGCACATTTTATTGTCATGAAAAATGTAAGCATAGCCTTTACTGAGAGATTAAAAGATAATATTAAACTCCCATTTTATTCTGCATAATAGAAAAATAAATCTGTACCATTTTCAACTAGTGTTAACTTTAAATTCAGCATTTGTCATGGAGTATTTGTGGCTATACCTCAGTAAATGTCTGAAATGAACTAACTAAAGCTACATTTATTTTGAACAGTAGAAATGGAAAAAATCAAACTACTTTGAAATTTTAACATTCCTTGTGGTCTCAACACACCAACCAGTGATTATGGTAATTATAAAACAGCTGTGGGTCATCAATCTATTTCTCCCAGGAAATATTTGTCAGGTTCTAAAACTGCTCATGGGGTAGCAGAGAGAATAACTGGGACAACCTGATCATGGTTCTAGGATTAAATGCAGATTTAATTGCATTAACTTCAGCAAATTAATGTTGAGGTAAGAGGGTATGCTTGTAGTTTCGAAGTCTGAAGTGCCCCCTTCGTGGTCATGGTGTATCCAGTCCTCAGAAAGCTATGCTCTTGCACCAGGGTGAGATAAGAACAAATATAATCAAGGAAATGACACTTGGCTGAGGCCACGATGGCCTCGATGCCATTCCTTGAGCTCCCACATTTGCACTGCTGCTCCCTAAGATAGAATGTTCTTTCTCTGAGATATTTGCATAAATATCACTCCTTCATTTCACACAAGTCTCTGATGAAATCCCTTGTTGGATGGTGCTAGCCCCCCTTGTACCCCTCTGACTTCTGTTCTTTTTTCTATTTATTCCATTTACCACATTACATATGTATTTATTTACATTATCATCTGTTACCCCCAACAGGACGCACTCTGTTTGAGAACAGATACTTTTTCAATCCTGTACCTCCAGCAACTAGACCAGGGCTGGCACATAATTGGTGCTCAATGCATATTTATTGAGTGAATGAATAATGAATGCATAAATGAGTGAATGAATAAGTGGGAACAGAAGGAGTGAACACGAGTTGATCAGAAGGGAAAGATCACTTCTCTGCTAGTAAACAAATTATGAAACAATATTTTATTCATTTGATTGCAGACGATATTTTCAATTAAGCTTATTACAGCTTGCAATAGGGCACAGAGTAGTACACAGCCATTAAAATAAAGGAGAAAATTCTGTATATTTTGTCAACCACAGAATATAATACTCCTTTCAGAGAAATAAGGTCTTGCCATACTTTGTAAGCAAGAACACGCTGTGTAAGACTAGAATCCAGGCATACCAAATCAAAATGGAATTTTACAGATGAGAACCTGCTGCCTCAGACCATTTTTCTCCCACTTTTTACCTCTTCACCCTGACTCATCAAAACCCAGTTCAAACATCACCTTCTTTAGGGAAAAGTTTACCCATCTCAGAGATCTGTTTTCCATCTGCACCTTGGTTTTTAGCTGCAACTTTAGGAGGTCATTTACATTTTCTTGCAGTGGAGGTCTGTTTATTCTTATTCTGTTGTCTTATTATATCTTCTTCTTATTTTTTGTTATCTGTTGTTCATACTGTCATTCCATATTTATGTCTCTAACATGAGCATCATTGCTTTATGATGTTACACAGCTAATAGTCCAACTGCAGTCCTTTACACAGGTCTAGTACCAAGTAAATCTGACTAAACAATAACACCAATCTCAAAATCTAACTGGCCCAGTTCCAGGAAGAGACTATGGTGGGTGACAGGACACTATTTGCCTACTCAGATTACAATGAGGACCACATTCTGCTTTATGGTTTCACTTCCTTGTGAAAATGGTGAGGTGACAGAGGAGGAGCATGTGGTCATGGGGAAGGACCTGACACGGGCTCCTCCACCCCCATTTTGTAGCTGATGCAGCTGTATGAATACCTAAGCCTACCTTGGCCACCCCAGACTGAGCACAGCTGCCTAAGAAAAACCACCTGCACTGGACCCATCTAAGATTTCCTCTTCCATTTCCAGGAATGTATATTGTGTGGGCTTCTGGACCTAATTTTGCCAAAAGTAGATAGGCAGTGGTAACCTCAAGGCAGCACCCACCTCACAATCACTGGATACAGAAACCCAAACCAGCGAAGATGGAAGGTCCATGAAGTACAGTGAAAAGTTTTGTTTAGCTACTTGCCAGCTCCTACCTGGCAAGTTCCTACAATGAAGATAATGGATGTACAAGTTTGTACCTAAAGTATAAATATCTTGTGATATAAATGCCAGGGTGATAAGATTCTGGGCAGATAAGCTACAGTGATATAAATGTGGGATTGCATTCATTTGTATGAATCAGCAGTCACCAAACATAAAACTGAAGCCAGAAAACAGTGTCACCATGATCTGATTTCCCAAATCTTATTCCAAATACATCCAAGTCCTCTGGATGTTTCCAGTTACCATTTCCTGTAACCAAAACGTAAGCAAGAACCTCCAAACGAAATCGGGCCCGAGAGAGGCCGACATGGGAGGGCAGATGACATACCTGTGCACGCCACTGTTACACATGATGATGTGGCAGGCCCCCAGCCGGGAGCACAGCTCCGAGGACACGGACAGCAGCCCCACCCCTGACGCGCTGCAGGCTGTGTTTGCGCAGGCCGCCGTGCGCTTGGATCTGATAAACGAGGCTACCAGCCGATAAAGTTCATCCAGAGCATTGAGAGGCCTCATTAGCTGCAGAAAAAAAGCGACGAACATAAAGCTCCACACATCCTGTAGGAAGAAATGCTTGTCGATGGGCTACAGTCCACCATCGTTAAAATGTTTAATGAAGAGCCTAAAATATCTTCCTCGTGGAGGTAACAGCTTTGGAGGCTACAAATATTTGTCTAAGAACTACACATTATCTAAGAACAACAGTGGAAAAAAATAAATAAGGGAGTTCTGTGAACGACAAAGCATCAACAAATGCAGTCATCTCTTTTTACCTTATCTACATAGGCAGCTTTGGATGTGGAGTTGGGTGGTGAGTTTGACTTGTCCAAGTAGAAGGCCCTGTAAGAATCCAAGGCATAGATGATCATTTATTGCTAGAAACACTAAAATGCATAAAGATCTGCAAGTTTCACTGATTTCCTTTTGAAGACAAATGAATAAACAGGTTGCACACTAGTATGGGTGGGAGTGCAAAAAAAGTCAATAGTCTTCTATTAGTAGAAAATGCCTAATGAGGCACCTGGGTGGCTCAGTCAGTTGAGCGTCTGACTCAATTTCAGCTCAGGTCATGGTCTCAGGGTTGTGAGATGGAGCCCCTGCTTCCAGCTCTGAATTCAGCAGGGAGTCTGCTTGAGATTCTTTCTCTCCCTCTCCCTCTACCCCTACCCACCCACCCGCCTCCCACATGCTCTCTCTCAAATAAATCTTAAAAAATTAAAAAAAGAAAAGAAAAGAAAAGAAAAGAAAAGAAAAGAAAAGAAAAGAACTAAAGCTACCACCAGCTCCATTACACACTGTGTGGTCTCAGAGACATTACTTAATTTGTGTATGCCTCAATTTCCTCTTTTGTAATTTGGGGATAACATTATCTTCTACTTCACAAGCCTGCTAAGAAGATTAAATGAGTTAATGCAAATAAAACCTTGAGAATGTACATAGCACAGAGTAAGTGCTCACTAATATTTTCCATAATTAATATTCTCACAAAAGTTGAAGAGATAATATTTTCTTGTGACTACTGGTGAATATTATCTAGTTTTCATTCATTGGGCAAGATTATAAAAGTAATACTCAAAAAACTAATTTTAAACCGAGTACGGAGTTGAATTCTTTCATTTACTAAGCTAGGCTCAGATTGGAAGTTAGACCCTCTTCAAGCATACTCTTTCTCTTTGTCACCAGAATGTAATGCGGCACCAAGTATTTTAAATACTGGAAATTGAATCTTAGTGACCTGCAATAATTAAACGCAATTTCCAAAGAATTTTGCTGAGTTTTGCTTAGCTCTTGGCTCAATACTAAGCTGAAATTGTAAGGAAATGACCCCTGAAGACGGGATACACTTAAGTTAAATTTCATCTACTATTTATTTTTGATGAAGTGAAATTATTTTCAAGATGTGAACACTTAGTATCAATGTACCAAAATAAGTTCCACAGTATTAGAATGATTGTCAGACAAGATATTAGAATAAAACTGATTAGGCTGATATTTTGGAGCACCATTTAGAACCTCAAAATACCATCCGGTTATTATCAAATGCATGAGTAGTAGTGGGCAAAATCAGTGAGAGAGACCTTTATGTCCAGAGTCCCCTTCTATGCACGCATGCGCACGTGCACACTCATACATGGCTATTCCCATTAGCACTATCCCTAGTAACAATGTTTGTTTTTGTCTTTTTAAGATAAAGTAGCATGGCTTAATCAATTTTTACACTTTAAATTAGGAAAACTTTAGGAGTCACTTCCAAAATGAAAATCAGGCTCAGTCTTACTGAGAATTAGCTTATCTCTCAAATGCAAACTCAAACAAGAACAAAAACTTAAAAACAGTTCTGTATCCAAAGTTGGGTTATTATTCCTTATATTCATTTGAATTCCTAAAGATTTCCACATACCATCTTGGAACAAAGGTGGTGCCTCAAATCTGAAACCCACAGAGATACCTTGACCAGATGTTCCCATGCCTTTCCTCAAGTGTGCTTGGTAGAAAAATCAATAGGGTAGAAAAGAGCCCACGAGTCCATGGAAAATTATTCCCTCAGTCTAAATCCCACAGCTACCTGTTGCTTCTGAGCACATAAGGCTTCCAGGAGTATGAGGACTCCAGTCACCCCAGGCAGTGTTCTGCTCGCAAGGACTGGGTTATGGTGGCATAAACCATTCTCAGGTGGAACATCATTCAAACACCAAGAAAACATCGTTTCATTCAGTTGGCAGAGTCAATATCTACTAAGAGCACTGGACCAAGAGCAAAATCAAAGGCATCTGAGACATTTTAAAATTTTTGACATCTTCTCCAGTATCAGAAAGAGATAGCAATACTCCAACAGGATTGCTGGTATGAGAAGAGGAAATGAGCCAGACTTGCGTGAGGTACAAAAACATGCAATGGGGCTGGGGTGAGGTTAGAATGAATGAGCGGCTGAGAGAGATCAGAGGGGCAGAGTCTGTAGGCAGGGACTTAACAGATCCTGACAAAGACTTTGGGTTTTTTAAACCTTATTGCTATGCATGAATATTCATGTTCTCCTGAAAGTTCTTAGTGTCTTTTCATTTCAGTTACACATGTACACATTTAGGCTAATACTATGAAGTACGAAAATTCAGATATGCACCACCATGTTTTAAACAGATCCTGGCACTTGGCACTTTTGCTTCACCTTTTAAAGAAATGAAACATTATAGATACAGGTGAGCCCCTTCTTGCTCACCCTTCTCCACTCCCACTTTTGCTCTGAACTCTCCCTTCCTAAGGTAAATACCACCCAGAAGCTGGCATTTACCACTCCCATGCTTTACACGGTCACCCACACAGTTGGCCCATGTGGACTGCCAGACCAAAAAACAGCTATGACCATTCTTCCACATCCTTGTTCCCATTGATGTCATGAGAAATTCAACCTTTGGTCTTTTTATTTTCAATCTGTATTTATTTGTGGCCCATATTTCTTCTTCTTCTCTTGCATTTTGCATTTTTCTTTTGTGTAGTCTTAACTTCCTTTACATAGAAATTAGTTATTACTTTTTATAGCAAGAGTTAAATTTGGTGACATTTAGAAGTTGCTGTTCCTCTTTACTATTTTTTTTTTTAAATCCACACATTTTTTTTCCTAGGCTTGCTTCCTCAAAATATTCGGTTTTTAAAAGTTGGATATTCTATTACTATGTTTGATCAGTGTGTCAGTGGTATATGGTGGCATTAAATTCTAGAATCCAAATTACAGGACATTTTCCCCCTCAATAATGCTCTTGGTGTCTGCTCTCAATCTAGTTGCCTTTGCTTTGGGGCTAGTCTGTATTTTTTCTTCGATGGGCAAAGATTTTCTTTTTATCCTCAATGTTCTGAAGTTTTACCTCAAGTGTTCAGGCACTGATTTATTGTTGTTTATCCAGATAGGTTCTCAGAGTGTCCATTTAATGCGAGGAGTCTTGTCTTCAATTCTAAAATAATCTCAGCTATTATTTCTTCCCATAATCTGAAGTTCTCGCTCTCTCTCATTCTCTTTCTTTCTTTCCTCGTACGTACACTTTTAAAGTCTTATTTTCCCGTGACTGCATTTTAGGTGATTTCCTAAGTAATAGCTTCCAAATTGAAAAAAAAAAAAATCTGTCCTTGTCAAGTCTAGAGTTTATACTTTCTTTTTTAAAATTTAATTTTATTTTCAGTGTTCCAAAATTCGTTGTTTATGCAGCACAACCAGTGCTCCATGCAATACTTGCCCTCCCTAATACCCACCACCAGGCTCATCCAACCCCCCACTCCCTCCCCTCCAAAATCCACAGTTTGTTTCTCAGATCCCAGTCTCTCATGGTTTGTCTCCCCTTCCGATTTCCCCCAACTCATTTCTCCTCTTCATCTCCCAATGTCCTCCATGTTATTCCTTATGTAGAGTTTATACTTTCTACTGGGAATTTTATTTCAATGGCTGTCTTTCATTTCCGAGATTTCTGCCTATTCTTATTTCATTTCCACCACAACAGGTATTTTAAACTCCCCATGAGGATATAAACTATGTGGATATGATTTTTATTTACTTGGGTTCATTCCTGCATCTCTGGCACCCATAAGAGTGTGCGGACAACAGTATAATCTTAAAAAATATTTGTAAATAAATAAAGCATTAGATCATGACTGTTTTTATTTCAGGATTCTCTACCTTTTTACAGATGCCAATCCTTTGTTTATATTTTGAATATCCAAAATATGCTCTCTCAGGCTGTTTCAATATTTTAATTTCTTCCAGTAAAATCTATTCTCAATGGTTGACTTCATTGGCTCTTTCCTAGTGTAAGGCTTTTTCTCATGTGCTTTGGATTTTTTTTTCCTTGTTTGCAGGTTCATTTGAAGACAGGAGATTGTTTTAAATTTAGTTTTATTTAGCTTTTTGATATACCTCCAACCCCCATCTCTCATTATCCTTCTCTTACAAATGATTTTGTGCTCATTTGGTGCCCAGAAACACCTAGACATAATCGGTTTCATATTGGTAATTCAAGTATTACATTGTGCTGGCATCTGGACTATTACAATTAACATTCCTGAACCAATGAGTGATCGGATTCAAGCCCCAGTTTATTGGCGGTGCTGCCTTCTTCCTGCCATATGAGCCATTCTTGGCATCAAAAGATATAGCCTAAAGTAGTGGCAGCAGGTTTGCTCAGAAGCAGACAAGTCCTCCTCTACGTCCTGGCTTCAACCTATAAGGCCAGCTCTGGATCTCCACTCAGTGTAGAGGGAATTCAATCTCCTATTAACCTGGAAGTAATCATACCGGCCCTTCTGGCCACCTTGAGAGGCCTCAGCATAGCTCACTACTCATTACTTGCATTTTCTTTTGATTTGTGGGCCACTGAGATGATAAATCATGAGCTCAGCTGTGACTTTGACTTTTTCTGACTGCATTTTACCTAGCAGTGCTATACGCTTGGAAAGAATGTGGTGCTTCAAAGCCAGAACTCACAGAGGTACCTTGATGAGATGTCCTCAGGCCTTTCCCTCAAGTGTGCTTGGCAGAGAAAGTAAAACAAGTAAAAGAAGTGCCCAAGTTCAGGGACAAATTATTTAGTCTCCCAGGGTCTCAAGTACCTTGTTTTTACAATGTATATTAAAATTGCCTAATATATATATATATGGCATAATGTCGAATATTAATCAAAATGAGAAGTACTCAGTACTGTGGTAAGCAAATCAGATGCATTCAATAGTTAATAATAAATGCTATTCAAGTGCACACAGTGGGAGGCATCCTCTGGAGCATTTTTAAGGCATAGCAAGGAATAAAAATAAGACCCAAACTTTCTTCTTTCCCTTAAGGCCACCTGTGATATTTTCTG